AAAAAAAAAAAAAAAAAACCTAAAAAGAAAACAGATGTCAAGAAAACTGGGTTATTACTAAACAGGTCTCAACTATTAACACCCAAGTTCCTTACATTAAATAATTATTTCTCAACAGAGACATGTTAGACATTTCATTCAGATTTATCCTTCCCAGACCCATTCCCACCCATCTCCCAAAATGCACTACTAGGGATGAGTAATGTTATGTGGGCAGAAATTTACAGATAACCATCCAACCTTGGGCACGGAGCTGAGGACATCTATTTAGACTTCTGTTACTGTGCACTGTCCATCGGGTTTTCTGGATCTGACACTGGCACTCACTGTTCCACCCCCTGCTACTGACCGGTCAGTTCCTGATCGATCAGCTACTGTCTGGTTTGCATTGGGCACCAAAAGTCTCTGTTGAGTCAAGGAGTGCTGTGCAGCGACCGCAGATACATCATCACTATCACTACTGGCATCTGATTCTGTTTCCTCAACGGAGGTGTCTGGCGCTCTGCCTGAAGATGGAGATTCACGGTCTTCTTCTCCTTCTCCCCTGTGACTCCTCTCATTTATGCTGTCTCCATCGAGTTGCAAATGAGCTAAAGAGTCTTCCAGAGAAGGGCCTGCATCAGGCGATGGTGTGGCAGGGCTGGTCAGCTGCACATCCACTGATGTCAGGGGCCTCACAGCGGATGACACTGGAGGCTGGACAGAAGCTCCACTCTGTGCCGACATGCTATCCGCACCATCAGCAGAGCTCTCTCTTGCTAGGTTTACAGAATTCGCATCACAGTCCAGCCTAAGTCCAGCTACGCCCTTCTTTGGTATATCTATTATATCTCGCTTAATCTTCCTACGACGTCCATGTTCGTTTCTCCTATATTGAACCATATTTTCAAGATCAGCAACATATAGAAACCCAGCAATTAACATTTCAGTGTTCTTTTTACCTTTGGAAAAAGCATCTTCCAGCTCTCTACTAGTACGCTCATCATACTGCCACCACCCGTTTCTTCCTTCATAATACCACGCATATTCGCCATTCCCTCTACTTGCTGCCTTGAGTTCTTCTGGTGACAATAAAGTTGGCTTGTCAAGGAAATCTTCGGGGATTTCTTGTCGACAAAGGGCACATCTCTTTCCAAGCCACGAAGCTCCTTTTACACACAGATAGCAGAAAACATGCTTACAGGGCAGACTGACTGGGTGAACACACGTTTGCAGACATATGGCACACTCAGGAACTGTCAGAGAAGGTGCAGCATTAGAACAGGACTCATTTGCTTTCCTGTTCGTAGGAAGCATGTTTATTGAGTGATCAATTTCACCACAGCCAGCCATCCTAGATGGTGAGGAAAAAAGACAATTTATATACAAAGTTTTTGATTCTTGTTTTGTGTGTCTTCATTTTTTGTTTGTAAGGAGCAATAAAGCACACAAATACTAAAACAAAATTAGAGATACCATTTCTATTAAAAAATGATTTATCAGAGAACTAAATGAAACATTTAAAATGTTCGAACCATTCTAGACCGATGTACAATCAGATGCAAAGACAAACAGAACAGTTACTTAGATCATGGCCAGCAACAATTTTGAAGCCTTATAGGATTTTACTAGCAATTTTGCCATAGTTTAATATGCTATTGGTTCTTTGCACATGGACCACAAAATTAAGACTAAAACCAAAACCCAGGAAGTTCCCTAGCCCTGTTCCATGGCACTGGAAGAGTGGTTCGATTACTCATTTCTGTCACAACATTTCTTCTCTGAAGGACAAGGGGCTTTTTTTGGTCTTTTTTTTTGTTGTTTTTCTATGCTATATGCTCTTCTCACTGTACTCTTCATCTGTACTCCTGACTTCAAGTATTAGCTATGCGTAAGTGAAGTGGCACAGACTGGCATCACAATCTAGCCCTCTCCACCAGAGACCTGTAATGCAGGACAGCGGAAAGGTACCCAAAACCCTCAAAACCTGCTTCCTTATTTTCTAAAGCAGCCCCCATAATAATCCCACTGTTCACTGACGCAAATAATCCATCCCAGAAACTGTCCTTTCCCTTTCTATCCAAATCATCAGTTTTATCAATTTTATCTCCTCTATGTCAATTCTGTGCTATGTTCCTCCTGAATCCACTTACTACTCATCTCTAGCCTTCCCTAGCCACCAAGAAAGCAGTACTTACTAAATTACTCCATAAGCCTGCCTCCTTGCTTAAAAGTTGACTTTTTTTTTTAAGAGAAAAGCCCAACTCTCTAGCCTACTTAGGCACCCACACCCACTCAGGCCTGGGTTCACAGCAGATTTCCTGGCTCAGATCTTCACCCACAGCTGCCACTCCCCAGGAACAGGCTTCCTCCTTTCTCAGCTCCCACTTCACACAGGGATACACAGGACAGCTCACCTTTCACCAGGACTGTGAAGGCTCCCAGGACTAAGACTGCCACTCTGCCTGCTTACCATTGTTAGCTCCCTACTCCTCATTACCAAAACTGCAATACAGCATTGATTCTCTGAGTGCTAGGATACCCACCTTCCCCAGAGGTGGGTGTGCTTTACAAAAGGGGAGACAGGCCACCTCTGGCTTGTCCACATACTTCCGTGTAAGATTAGCAAAGATTCACAGAGAATACTTTAAGCGACACCAAGGTAAACTATCTGACAAAACTTGTAAAATCATGTTCCCATAACTAGCTTGGCAATACATGAAAATGTTGTCAATGTACATAGAGATCAGTCCTGAGAAAGCAGACTGAAAAGGGTAACAAGCTGAGACAGTGATTACACAGTTAAACCAATGCCAGACAAGAAATCAAAAAACCTGAGTCCTAGTCTTCCTTTTTAATTATACACTTGGAATCACTAAGGTAAATCTTTAAATTTCCTTACCTGCAAGAATTTACAGAACTCAAGAAACAGTGGGAAAAAAATACCCCACAAAAATTTCTTTAATCACAAAGCTCCATAAATGTTGTCATAAAACCAAGGGAAAAAATACAAATACAATGCTGATCTGAAAAGGGTGAGAGAAAAAATAAGCCTTGTGACACTAGATGTACTGAATGTAGATCAAATTTGGGCAACTTACTGGTTCAGATAAATAAGGAAATATACATGAAAGCAGACAGAACTCCAGGTATGCTAGGATAATACAAGTAAGGAGAAAGACATGAATGAGCATAGCTTTAATAAAGCTTGGGTGCAAGAGGTGCTGTGTAGAGAATATTTCAAGTAGAGACATAAGGGGTTTGATCAGAAGGTACTATTAAGTATTTAAACTTAAAAACATGATTATAATAAAAGATACATTGCTATTAATCCCCACTAAAATATCTTCGAGCACACTTTTCATTCTTGGCCATATTCTGAAGCACTTTTGTTGAGTCCTCTTGGTTTTTTTAATAAAATGTGATAAAACAATACAGTCAGTGCTTCCGCTCATTCAATCCAACAAAACAGTTTGCTTCTATAAAGCATCTCACTCACTGGATCTGGCACCATGCAGGTGCACAGCATCTGGGCACTTCACTAGTCAAAACAATGAGGAAAGTTAAACACTTAAATTGATTCAGGACATTGAGCCAGCTATGACAGTACAACTAAAGACAAAAGAAAGGACTTCTACAACTGTTTCAAAAGTGGAAAGAATTATGGGTGTGTTTACAATGGAGTATTTTAGCGAGGATTAATGGAAATGTGTTTTCTTTACCATAAACTTCTAGTTTAAACATTCACTGTATCTTTCACACTTCATATGCAAGAAACTGAATCATATAAGCAATAGAATCAGAAACGGTAATCATAAAGGTAACCTGGAATCAAATCACAAGAGCCTGTTGTATGCTCCTAAAGAAACAACTTGATTTTTATTCTACAGAAATAGGAAACCACAGATACTATGAGAAGGGAAAAAAGTGACAAGAGGAAAGTAATGGTAAATGGAAATGATGGCAAAAATCTCAAGGTTTGACACCACTAATTAGCTGCTGCTGCTTAACATGAATGAGAGATACCAGCACAGTTAGTCAAGTTAACTGTGAGAATTCTACCATTAACTGCTATTTTCAAAAAACTGATGGAAATTCTTAGGACAATTGCCTTAGCCATCTTGTATATATACATATATGGTTTTGCCTCTACTTTATTTCCCATCTTTTTTCCTTTTTCTCTCTTCACTGTTTATTCCTTAAGTTCTGTTACTTTCCACTTAACCGTGTCTCTTATACCTTTCAGATTTCCTTTCTTCTGCGTTCTCACACTAGGAAAACAATATGATATTTACACACCAGGGTCTGGTGTATTTCACTATGAGTATAGCCTCAAGTTGCATCCACTTAGCTACAAAGGCTTCGAATTTGTTTTTCTTTATATGTGAGTAATACTCTACTGTATAAAGATACCACATCTTTTTCACCCACTGCTCAAGTGTTGGGCATTTTGGTTGTTTCCAAGAGAACAGCAATGTGTAGCACTAAAACCATGCTTGAAATACCATCATCTTGGTCTTCTAAATGTATATCATTTTGAATGTCATATTAATTATTACTATATACTCAATTTTTTAAAAAAGCAATAAAAGAAAATAAGAACAAAATTTTAAGTTTTTTTAAAAGCATGTGGTAATATTCAATCATATGTCCCTTCTTGCATAATTATATCTGATAATCTGAGCAACAGGTTTGATGATAAAAATAATTATATCAATCACTGTTAATCAGCTATTGTTTTGAAAATCTGTAACATATGTTTTGTTATGTTACCAGGTTTATCTTTTTGTTTTTCTTGCTCTTGTTTTTACTCTTCAAAATAAATTATTAAAAAAACCACGAATAACAATCTCTCTACTAATTAATTCTCACATTTTAAACAGAATATTTAGAATTTACCGTATGACATTTTATGTAAGAATAAGACTTTAAAAGTATATCTAGTGTTTAAAAATAGGAGTGTCAACAGAAATATTCACACTAATTGTAATTACAAATCAGTATCCTTAGGCTTTCACTACAGCACATCCAGTCTTACTCCACCCTCACGTTTTCACTACTCCTGTGCTGTTGGAGCCTCCATAAACTATGGTTTAAGTTTTTAAAGACTTCAATTACCTGAAAAAGGATACAACGATGTTGCAATAGAAAAGGTAATCACAGAAATGCTTAATTTCCAAATTTTTTTGAAACCCTTAACGAAAATATCAATCACCTCCTTTACTAGCAATTATAGGTTATAAAAATCAGCAAAGTACAACCTTTTCCTAACCCAGGGAAAATTCTAGATCAAAAAATACAAGTTCATAATATGAGGCACTACTGAAGCTCTGAAGCATCATGAGTTACAAACGAAAGCATGTGCTTCTTACTGGTCAACACCCTTTCCCACCCTCTCTACCCTGAAACCAAGGGCATAATGCACAAAAATCTTTTTCAAATTTCTGTATGTATTTAAATGTCCAACTAAAAGAAAAATATAGAAATCAACTGTAAGTAGTAACTGAGGACTCTTGATAATTCTATTTATAGTGCAAAATAGAAAAATGGACTGATGTTCACTACTACCTTGGAAATCACAATAGCAACATCTTACATACAAAAGTGTACATGTCAAACTGGGAATCTTATAAGCAAGACATTTTAAAAATTGATAAATTTAAAATTTAAGAGAAATAGTAGTCTGGTAAAATGCAAACTAAGTACCCAACACATCTTTTGGATATTATACTTTCATTTTTATTTATTTATTATTTTAGGGAAGGGTCTACAGGGTGTTCAGGGTCTCACTACTAGATCCAACTTGTAGTGATCCGCCTCTTTACAGCCTCCCAAGAGCTGAGATCACAGGTGCATGCAACCACACCCAGTCTCAACTGCTGTCGCAGAGGGCCTGGGGATTAAATCCCCAGCCCCTTTGCCTACTTGCAGGCGCTTTAATACACTGAGCTATTTGGCCGGCCCCTGGATGTTATACTTTTAAACACTGAATTCTAGCTACTTCCTGATCATTAAGTAAAATTGATATGAAACATCAGTTTTCCACTTGATGCAGCTACCTTACCTATAGAAAGTTTACAAGCGAACCACTACTTTCTACCCTGCTTAATATGATCAATATTTTGTTTAACTCTTACATTCATGAATAAAGCTAAGCAAGTGATTTTTAAAATGTAAAATGCAACTATAACCGTCTCAGAGGAGGCATGAACTGTAAAAACAATACACTTGGAAAGGCAAAATAATTCTGCGTGAACCGTTATTCTGGATTCTTCATCACAATGAATTAAGTTGGACAAATTTCTTCAGAAAACAAACACAGGGCCAGGGAAGATAGCTTAGTGGCTTAAGTACCTGCCTAGCAACTACAAGGTCCTGAGTTCAGTCCTTGGTACTGCAAAACAAACAAACAAAAACAAGGTAGATTATTTCATATGAAGTACTCTCAACTATCAATTTGCAAAAGCAAATTGTAAATTCAGATCCCTGGTAGCCCACCAAGTATACTGTCAGTTTATCATCAACTAAGAAATATTTAGTAATATTTCTTCTAATTCTAGTAATATTTCTTCTAATTCTAGTTGAGGCATATACAACAAGATATATGAGACAAAATATAACAAGACACAGATACCCTAAGCCACTAACCTACTTATAAGGCTTACTTCTAAGCTATTTTTATTACCATTTCAATCTACCCTATATGTCTTTTAAATTATGATCTTAAAATCTTTTAAATTCAATGATCTTAAAAAAGGTAGAAAGTCAAATGTATGCAGAAGGATCAGACCAATATGTACATAAATGCTTCTCCTCACCACTTTTCATAGAGTAAGAATTTCTTTCTTCTTTTAATGTATTTAGAACAGGGTCTACAGGGTCTAACTACATAAATCAGACTCATAGTGATTCTCCTGTTTTCAAGCTCCCACGCACTGGGAGTACAAGCATGCACCACCACACCTATCTCAATCTCAAGTCTCAGTGCACTCCAGGGGCGAAGCTAGCATGGCATGCTGAGGATCAAACCCTGGCCACTGCACTCTGCCTATGCAGGCACTTTAGTCCACTGAGCGATCTGGTCAGCCCTATAGCTTAAGAATTTAACAGAGTTAATGCTAATCAAAACTTGGCTTCTGTAGTACTGAAAAACTTAGCCAGCAATAAAAACTCTAGATACTAAAATCAGAGTTATAAAATCAGGTTAAGAATCAGATTCTTGGGGCTGGCCAGATAGCTCAGCAGGCTAAAGTGCCTGCTTTGGCAGAGTGCAGTGGCTTGGGTTCAATCCTCAGCATGCTGCGCAAACCCCGCTCCTGGGGCAGCTGAAGTTGTGATTGAGACTGGGTATGTGGTGCGCACCTGTAATCCCTATACTTGGGAGGCTGAAAACAGGAGGATCACTATGAGTCCAGTCTACATAGTGAGACTCTGTAACACCCTGTAGACCCTGTTCTAAACTCATTAAAAAAAAAAAAAAAAATCAGATTCTTACACACACTTTTCTGTATAAAATACTCTCCTCCACCTAACTTTAGTTTCCGTCTGACTCTCCCTCAGCTCAACTGTGTATAATATTAGTCCTCTTCCAAGCTTCAATAGTTTTCTACTACATGCATAATTAATCCAAATTCCTAAGCAATGGCTTTCAATACCATCCACATAGCCTTTATAAGACTTAGTTATAAGTCTTATAATAAAAGACTTACAATAAAAGACTTAGTTCAAAGAATGGCTCTGTGATTCACTCTAATATTCACTAGGCCATCATTTCCCAAACTTTCCTAAAGGTAGAAAATAGCTATTGTGTTCTTCCCAGGACATGTGAGCTCTGGAGTCTAGGTTAGAATCTAGAAGGCTGTATTTTGTACCCCAAGGGATTCTTCTCAGACAATTCTGGTAAATACTGACCTAGATTTAATTCCTGTTTCTTCTTCAGTAAATGAGACATTCCTGTCATGCATATGCAGGGACTAAATTCAATAATGTCCAGTGACCCTCCCCTAGCAATACATCAGACACTAAATAAATGTTCACCACCCTACTTACGATGCAGTCGACCCTGTTTTCAAACAAGGTTATTCCCTCACCTCATTAAAATACACTGATACTAGACAGCTGTGTCCCTCCTCATTAGTTGGCCTAGAAAATTATTTCCTAATGTTGTCTAGTTGTTAAAATTCTACTCACTCTTTGAGGCTAAGCTAAAACTTCCATTCACTCCCCTTCAAATGGAACGTCTTTCTTTTCCCTGTTTCAGTAGTATTTTATGGTCTCCAAAATACAGTTTGTCCTGCCTTTGGCCGATTCTATAGTTGTCTCATATACCAGACTTCAATAACCAATTCCTACTTTTAAGTGCTTAATGGCTTAGCAAGATTTAGTGAAACAATAATGAAAACAAAAACAGGCTGGAGATGTGGATCAATGGTATACCACTTGCCTAGCATGTGTGAAGTCCTGGGTTCAATCCCCACAAGATTAAACAGAAGATGAACTTGCCCTGCTTTGGTCTACAGTGAGCTAGAAGAGGCCCCGCTGTGCCCCTTCCCTGGGTAGGATGGGCAGGACCCCACAGTTTTGTACCACCTTCCCTGTCCCCTCCCCCTCTTGAACTAGAGGGTACCAGAGACAATGTCACAGCAGCAACTGCACTATCACTTCTGCAGTCCTGACAAGAGCCGCAGCTAACCAAGAGCCTCCACTGTTACTTCACTGCTCTGGGCCATCCAGGTTCTGGCCTATCCAGGTTCTGGCCTGCTCTGAAGAGCACTGTGCTTGACCAGGTAAAGGTCAGGAACAGACCATGGCACACTGCTATCATCCCTGATCTTCTAAAATTGTGCTGGGCTCTGAGCCCACTGCAGCTCTCCTTAAAACTCTGGATTGGACCTGCTGTGACCACGGCAGCCATGGCTATCCCTGATGCCCCAGAGCCACTGCAGGAACTCCATGCCTAGGCCCTATCCCAGATCACTCTGTTCTGCGTGTACTTTAGTTTTTGTTTTTTAATGTATTTGGTTGTTGCAGGGTCTAATTAGGCAACTCAGACTCATAGTGATCCTCCTGTTTTCAGTCTGTGCAGCGCAGGGATTACAGGCATGTGTCACTATGCCTAGACTCTGTGGCCGACTCACCACCCCCTGGGGCCAGGCTGGTATGACATGTGGTGCCAGGGATCAAAATGCAGTCCCTGTGCTTGCCTAAGCTTGCCTATGCAGGCACTTTAGTCCGCTGAGCTATCTCGCTGGCTCCCTGCATGTACTTTGAATGACCCACCCCTCTGCCACTGCTTCCCAAGTCCCAAAGGAGGTCTGCACATGGCCACTTTGCTCCTTCTCTATATAAGCAGTGTGCCTCTTCTTCTTGGGTCAGTGCAGCTGACTCCTTCCTGTGCTCACCCCTCCCCAAGAAAGCACTGTTATTTTACTACTTACTGGGTGGGTGCCCTAAGAGCTGGCAACACAGAGGACCACTGGCCCTAACAGTGACTGACAACCAGAGGGCTGCTGAACAGTTCCGGAGAGTCACAGAGAAGTAGAGCTAAAAGCAGGGGACCTGGAGTGGAAGCTGCAAAAAGAGCAACAGAAAACTACTAATAGGGCACAAGCTGAGGGGCTACCAGGGCAGCTGGAAGCCTCCAAAAGCTGTGACACCAAGAGCTGTATGACTAAAGCTGCAGCAGCAAAACCCAAGAGACACTCACACTCAAAATCCACAGCCCTAACAGTGAGGGCCGAGAGTCAATGGTACTCAAAAGCGCAGAGCCCATCATGAGAGGGTCACTGCCCATTTGTGATTTCCATCTGAGCTGAGCAAAACAGCCCCAGCCAAGAGGTGACATCTAAACTAAGACTGATACAGTCATATTTTTATCATACCAAAAACTGGAGTCAAACTAAGAGACACTGAAACAATCTAAAAGGAAACTCTGATCCAACAATTCAAAGCCTAATCTCCAAAACTAAACTGTTCATTGCGGGAAATACTTCATCAATAACAGAAAAGGTTCACTACAAGAAAGTTCATGGTAAGCTGGGTGTGGTGGCACTCGCCTGTAATCCCAGCACCCAGGAGGCTGAGTCAGGAGGACTGGCCTGAGTAGTAGCCTGGACTATAAAGTGAGCTCAAGGCCAGCCTGAACTTCATAGCAAGACCCTGTCTCAAAAAGACCAAATAAATAAATAAATAATTTATGGTGATCTAACATTTTATTTATTTATTTATTTTTTTGGGCAGAACTAGGGATTGAACTCAGACCCTTGTGCTTGCCAGGGAAGCACTTATTCTACTGAGCCATCTCCCCAGTCCTTTTTTAAAATTTATTTATTTACTTATTTTGATCTAACATTTTAAAACAATTATTTCTCTAAAAGAATGTTAGAGAGGGGGCATGGCCCTAGCTCAGGCCTTTAAGTGGCTGCTTCCACAAAGCTCTCAGCCTCAGGTTGCTGGAGTTCGAACCTCACAACTCTCCCGCTGGCCAAAAGTGCCCTGAAGCCATTCGAGGAACAAAAAAAAAAAAAAAAAAAAAAAAAAGAATGTTAGAGAAATACAATTAATGAAACTGAACTAGAGTCAATCAAAATGAAAAAAAAAAAGTAATACTTTTTGAAAAATTCTTAACAATTTAAGTCAGTTATGGTTGAAAGAAATTCCTTATATTTATTGAAATGAGTTTCTACAAACTAGTAATTTTATAGCTCAGAAGTCTCTTATTAAAAAACGGATACTACTGTATCAGGTAAGTAACTGAGCAGTTATTTAATGTGGTTAGTTAAGTAAATTACTGTACAAAGAAAAGGCAAAATTCATTGACACTGGAGATTACTCCTGTGTTTTAGCCAACAATAAGCAAATTCCTAGAGATTTTCCCCTATAAGATTTTTGGGGAAAACTTAAACAATGATAATTTAATGTGAATAAAATTGATGACTTGATAAACCAACTAAAGTCAATACAAAATACTTTGTACAATTAAAACTAATGTAACAGATACTGGATTTACTGTGTTTTATACAAATCCACTGTAGCTTTGGAAAATCCACACTACACTTACATTTCTGTTGCAGATCCCACACGTGCCTGTCACAAAGAGAAAGCATCTTCTCCAACAGCAATCAGCTAGTTGGCCACATTTTTTCTTTTACTGCTGGTTCATTCTCTGTGCTGCAAATGAAAAAAATTTGAACATCAATTTCTCAAGACTAGGATCAACATAATTAGTCAATTATGTATAATCTTTTGACAGAATGTAGTGGCAAATTTTATCTTGAAATAAAAAATAAATGAAGACAAGGATGTTTGCTTTTACCACTGCTACTCAACACTATACAAAGCTCAAGCAGAAAAGTAAGGTGAAAGGGGTAATAAAAGCATACAAACTGGCAAAGAAGATGTAAAAAAAAGTGTCCCCACTGGTACAAAGAATGAAAGTCTCTCTATTCTTTATATAAAGGAAATTCCAAAGAACTCCAAGAAAGCTACTAATATGAGTAAAGTTGCAGGTTACAAATTACACATACACAAAACAACAACAAAACTCAGTTGTGCTTCTAAATGCTACTAGTAGTCAACAATCCAAACAAAATCAAGGGAGCAATTCCATTCATAACATCTAAAAGAATAAAAGAGGAATCAAATTAACCAAAGAGAACTTTCATTTTGAAAACTGTAAAATATTACTGAAAGAAACAAAAGCTAAGTAACTGAAAAGACAGCCCTTACTTACAAAAGCTAAGTAACTGAAAAGGCAGACTGATTTAGCATGTTTAGACAACCAGTACTACCCAAAGTAATCCACAGAGCCAATTAATTCCTATCGAAATTGTCTTATTTGCAGAAATTTACACATCAATCCTCAAATTCACACACAATTTGTAAAGGACCCCAGTAAGTCAGAATAACATTGAAAAAGATGACAGCTCTCACTTCTAAATGTCAAAGTCTTACTGCACAGCTGCCATGAGTAATACACTATGGTGCCGCCCTAAGGACAAACACATGAAGCAGTGGAACAGAACTGTGAATCCCAAAATAAAATCATAGACCTAGAGCCAACTGGTTTTTTCAAAGTTAAGTCCACTCAATACTCTCTTCAATAAATGATGGGACTAGATTTCCACATGCAAAAGAATGAAACCAGACTTCCACTTACACCACAAACAAAACTAAAGCACATCAATGATGTAAATCCCATAAAATTTATAGAAAAAAAAATATAGGGGAAAATCTTCATGACCATGGAATTGGTAAAAGATTCTTAGCCACGAGCAATGAAAGAAACCAAAAAATTGGACAGATTGTTCAATGGTCTAAGTGCCTGCCTAGCAAGCTCAAGGACCCAAGTTTGATCCCCTGCACTGCCTGTGGAGCCAACTCCAGAACCCCCGGCACACCCCAAAACCGACACATGCCTGTAATCCCAGTGCTGGGGAGACTGAGACAGGAGGATCACCCTGTATCAAATAAATAAATTTTTTTTTTATTTTTTATTATTTTTGTATTTTAGGGAATGGTCTACAGGGTGTTAAGGGTCTCACTACTAGATCGGACTCATAGTGATCCACCTGTTTACAGCCTCCCAAGAGCTGGGATTACAGACCCGCACCACCATTCCAGTCTCAAGTGCCACCTCAGTGCACCCCAGGGGGCAGGGCTAGTATGGCAGGACCAGGGATGGAATCCCCAGGCCCTGAACCTGCTTGCAGGCACTTTAATCCACTGAGCTATTTGGCTGGCCCCATAAATAATTTTTTAAAAAGAAGTAAAAACTTTATCATCATCTTGAGACTGTAATATTAAGTGAAGGACCACAGAGATAGCTCAGTGGTCTAAGCACCTGCTTAGGGAAGCACAAGGACCCAGGTTTGATATTTGGTACCACATGTAGCACCAGCCTAGATGTGCCAAGCTGGCCACCAAGACTAGGGGTGCTGGCGCAGGCCTGTAATCCTAGCACTAGGGTGGCTGAAACAGGAGGATCACTACGAGTCCAAGCTGCTACTAAGACCCTGTACCAAATACATAAAAATTTTTAAAAAGTAAAACAGAAAAAAGCACTAAGTAAATAAGACACAAACCTATGCACTTGGTTTTTCCTATATGAAAAATCAAATATAACAAGTGCAAAAAAAAAAAATACGAAAATGTCTCGTCCATAAATACTTTATTTCTGAAACAAACGCTTTGCTTCACAAAAGATAAACTGAGCAAAGTAGCTTCAAAATAATCCACAGGAATGTTTTAAATACCCCATATTTAATCACTTTAAAGTTGTGGTTTCTCTTTAAGAACTACTTCAGAGTGTAAATTAAGCAAAAGCCACGACTACTAAAGGAAAGCTTTGCTACACTAATGTCATCACAAAAGTGGTTAAAAAATTCTAGTCACTCCAAGGGGTGCAGTTCTCATTTTGTTTTCTTTATTTTTTTTTTATTTTTTTTATTTATTTGAGAGAGAGAGAGAGAGAGAGAGAGAGAGAGAGAGAGAGAGTGTGGTGTGTGTGTGTGGCCAGCTCAGCCCACCAGGGGGCGGGGCTGGCTGGCATGTGGTGCTGGGGGATTGAACCGCGGTCCCCGATGCTTTGCTAAGCTTGTTCTAAGTAGGTGCTTTAGACCACTGAGCCATCTCTCCAGCCCCTCATTTTGTTTTCTTTCGCTGAAGACTTAAATAGATTCCAGCAATTCTTTAACAAATAATGTATTATTTGAAAAAGTTCTTTATAGATAAGAATAAAACACAAAAACTGTGGTCTATTCACTCAGTAAATACCATGAAAGCATCTTCTATGAAAAAAGACATTTTCCCTCAATCTGATCCTTCTTCAGTAGATTTGCTTTTGTTTACTACTAACATCCAGGCTTAGCAGTAAACAAGACTATGTATCAGAGATACAATCAACTCCATATTCCAGTATAACCTTTCCTTACATTACCTGATGTACTTTTGCACAAAATTTAATGAAAATATATTTGCTCAATGACAGTCTTTTTCCTTTCAAATAACTACAAAAGCAATCTTAGAAATGCCTTCTACCAATTTTTAGTATGTTAATTTTATTTCCCTTGAAAATCTTTATTAGTTCACTCTTAAAATTACTTCACTTCAAATTATGCATTACTCTTCCAAGCAGCAGGTCTAGCCTTAGACTGCCTTACACATGACAATCTGAAGCCCCACACAATCTCTGGGTGATGCATAGCACCATTGCATCCCTAAGACAATCTGTGAGATGAAACTACATCCATTTTTTACAAAGAAGGCACTTCAAATTCAAAACGCTAAAGATTTACCCAAAATCACAAAACTCTTGATATAGTGAGACTGTATTCTAGCTCAAGTATAATGTATTTTCAATGTAGTACATTTTCTACAATGTATTATTTCTGAAATATATGGTCTAGAATGGCATAATCTAACAGAAATATGTTAATATGTTGCAAGCTGCGTATATTAAAATATTTTACATTAAGACTAACGAAAAATAAAATTGTACTTAACATGTTGCTACAATTTTATTAAGTATTTAACATAAAAATTAATGTTATTTTACATTAGGTCTGTATAATCTGGAATATAGTGCATATTTTACACAACATTTAGCACAACTCATACTAGCCACATATCAAGTGCTCAACTGCATGCAGGTCTGTACTTTTTTCTTTGAGATACTCAGGATTGAACCTAGGACTCAAATAGGCAAGCATTTGACTACTGAGCCACACCCAGCTGTAGTACAGATAGAGAATGTCTTACATACTAGTTAAAAAAAAAAAAACCCAGCAAATTATTACAGAAATCAACGGAGAGAATAAAACGAACTCCAGGTTAATGCACGTACACCTCGTAAACTGACCCATCACCTACAACTGCTATACATTCTAATGTCAACTGGGTATGAAACAGGACCTACTTCTAATTCTGAAGACAGTCAAGTTAAGAAGCCCTCAGGCTCCCATTATCTGATGCCAAGAACTTTTTTTAAGTGCCGGTAGAAGGGCTGGGTATATAGCACAGTGGCACAGCACCTGCCTGGCAAGTGTGAGGTCCTGAGTTTGATTCCCAGCGCATATAAATAAGATCATAATGTTTTTATTCAAACCCAAGGAGGAAGACAGAACAATCTAGTATTTAAAATAACTTTGCTAGCATAAATAATTCAGATATACATAACTCTTTCTGCATGATTCATAAATTATACAGCAAACTAAATACAACAATCTACTAAAAAAGTTATATAAGACTTCAAACTTATACTACTTTGTTCCTTAGTAACTAAAGAAAAAAAGTAGTATTAAATTTATCATCATATAAAGAGATAATCTATGAATTTTAATCTTAATCCATTCAGCCACTTAAATAAGTATAAGTGAAAAATTTAAAAATGAACTATTCAAAACATGTAACACTCAAATTCATACTATGTACTGCAGTTATTTTCTATGAAAATATCTAAGATTAATTACAATTTTATTTTTCAAGTCAGTCTAACATCAAAAAGAAAAATACCAAATTACAGATATCTGAAGACTTTCTGTACCCTGCTAATTAAAGCTAGCATGTAATAAAGTTTTAACCTTTTATTTATACAATATACACAAAACTGAAAATGTTTAATATCAAACCTCTTAACGAAAGCAAAAGCACGTCAAACCTTCCAAGTTTTGGCATAAAAAATTTTTAAAAATTACTCCAGAAAAACGGTGAAGATCACTGTGATTCAGCAGGCACATCTTAAAATGTGCCAAATGTAGCTCAATGCCCTAACGCACCCATTTTTAGCCTTTATCAACCCTTAAAAATCAGCTTGCAAACTGGGGACAGTGGTGTACCTTTGTAATCCCAGCTGCTCTCAGCACAACTGCAAATTAAAGCCAGCCTGGGAGGCCAAGGAGATGGCTCAGTGGATTAAGCCCTTCCCTGGCAAGCACAAGGGCCAGAGTTCAATCCCTGGTTCCACCAAAAGAATAAAAATAAGAAATAAAGCCAGCCTGGGCAACTTAGTGTGAAGCTTTCTTAGAAATGCAAATTTAAAAAAAATTTTTAAAAAAAGCTTACAGAAAAGCATAGTAGTCTTACTTGGAAACAACTTAAAATTCTTTTCAGGTAAACAGGGTCAAATAATTTAAAAAAGAATTCCTTATATTATCACTTCCTCTAGAAAAAATTACTGTACGGTAATGTACTTACTACTTTCAATGTTCATTCTTAAATATAACACACTGAACACCAACTCCTCAAAGTAGGCTCTGCATTTCACTTAAGAGATGTAAACATGAACAAATACTACCTTTTCATAAAACTAAACAAAGACGTTTCATAGCCAACAATTCTATAAATAAAATCTCTGGCTAATGCAACTCGTAAACTTGGTCAAGTTGTAAATCCTGTCTTTGTTCCTTCACCTTCCTCTACAATTCTGTAAGTCTGTTTTATCAGGCATGATCTAAATGTTTAATTGTAATTTAACAATAGGTTTTGTTTTGATTAACCCAAAAAGTAATAGGCTATGAACAGGAAACAGAATCAGCAAACAAGCACAGGTGGTTGTGTGCCCTGTGTTAGCTTCCATACTCACAAAGATTGTTCCTAAGCCAGTATGTTGTTTCATAAATCCAAATTCCTTGGTCAAAAGGTAAGAGAGAGAAAAGATTCAGCAAGTTCCAGGACCAAGACTGCAGGAGGGGAAACACTCAAATCCTCAAGTGACAAGCCTTTCAGGACAGTACAGTATCTAGGTTTCACAGAAAATAATCTTTAAACTGATCAACGTGACAAGAAAATTTTAATTTGATCATTTCCTCTTTCTAAGTCAACAAATCACCCTGAATCCTTTTAAAAAAGAAACAAAGTCTGCTTATTTCTTGACAATTCAAGTTGGTGAAAACACTTTATCAGTTACTTTATCAGTCAGCACATCTAAAAGAAAAATGTCATTCCCCTCTAGAATCCTTTTATCTAATGACCATCCACCTGAAGAAAGTTTGCCGGGTCATTCTACTGAACTCTTAAAAGACCAGGAAATAACAGAAACCTCCCCATGTTTGTCAGTATTTTCATTCCTTGCACAATTTACATTGAGCCCTTAGAGATGGCAATTCTAAACCCAAATACTTCACTTCAGAGAGCCCAAGGCCAGACACAAGCAAAAATCTACTTTTTGAATGGCACTCGCTGTTCAGTTTCGGATTTAAAATGAGATTTACTTCACCCATTTTCATGTTTTTAGACCGCCCACTGTTCAACCAATACCTGCTAGTAAAAAGATAAAAAACTACATACACATACACCAAAAAGCCCCACAAAGAAACAAAATCAGAAAAGCCCTCACAAACCAGGGTATTTATGTGGGTCATTTTCAGCGTGTGCCTAAACGTGCCGGATTCATTCATTAAGATTCCCTCCTAGTCGGCCGCACACCCTGCCTCTGGGCACTGCCCCCTCGGTCCCCCCGAAGTCCAGCCCGGGGTGCGGGAGGCTGGCACCTGAAATGCCTATCAAGTCGCTCACAGAACAAAGCCTTTCCTAGCATCTCCGCATCTCTTTTCCTCTCCTCCCACGGTACTTCGGTATTCTTAAAAATACAACTGCAAACGTTCAAAACTTGAGAAATAAGCGCTCCCCAAAATGGCACCTAGGGAAAAATAAAAACAGACCAAAACGATCAACCAGAAAAAAACAAACCCAGCGGCCGGGTGCGCGGCCAACTTCCCGAGCGCGGGCCTGCTCCCTCGGCCCGCCCGCACACCCTGCGCAGGCGGCGGCGGCGGGCCGGGTC